CGGTCTTTCGAATAATCGCGAACTCGTTCGGGCGCGTCGCGATTTTCTATTAGCTTGCGTGTTTGATATTTCATTCCCTATTTTTATGGGAACTTGAAAATATCTTAGCGTTGCGACAGTAGAGTTTCAGTATACCGAACCGAAATCCCTTTTGTAAGACACGAAATATAATAAAGTATCAGTAGAGTCATTTTACCTTAATTCGCTCCAAGTTAGATTAGGGTACCTTTGATACAGGTAGCGCCAGCAGGCTGCGCCACTAGGGCGCATGTCGGGTCTCGATGCGTAGCCACCTCCACGTGGTGAGACCTGGTAATTGGTATCGTTTTCCAAAGAATAATTTTTGCAAAACGATACCAAGCTAAGAGCTATGCACAAAGTTTAAGATATTTCCTATCTCTTACAAATTTTCAATGTTCCCTTGGAATTTTGAATATAAAGCGTGGGCAATATCTGTCGAAATAATATCTAAAGTTAGACGAATAAGGTAAGGGGAGCAAGGTAAGTAAGGTGTAAGTAAGGTAAGTGAGGTGTAAGTAAGGTAAGTAAGGTAAGTAAAATAATTAAAATCTCTGGCAGTGAGTAGTCTATGTGTAGTATGTAAATTCATGCAATCGCTGCGAAATTTGTCTGGATAAAATTCTTGGAAAGTGACGTCATTTCTTGTAATTCGTCGACGATCGACCTCCTGTCATATTATGTTCTCCTGATACAAAATCGCGAAATCGGCCAGAAATTTCTTGGCGAGACTGCAAAGTATTGTCCAAAGAATTCTTGGAAATGACGTAAATTCTTGGAATCGGTCGACGAACGACCTCCTGTCATGTTATGTTCTCCTGATACAAAATCGCGAAATCGGCCAGAAATTTCTTGGCGAGACTGCAAAGTATTGTCCAGAGAATTCTTGGAAATGACGTCAATTCTTGGAATCGTTCGACGAACAATCTCCTGTCATGTTATGTTCTCCTGATACAAAATCGCGAAACCGGCCAGAAATTTCTTGGCGAGGCTGCAAAGTATTGTCCAGAGAATTCTTGGAAATGACGTAAATTCTTGGAATCGGTCGACGAGCGACCTCCTATCATGTTATGTTCTCCTGATACAAAATCGTGAAATCGGCCAGAAACTTTTCTCCGTGGCCGCAAAAGAATTGACCACCGAAGCGGTAAAAGTATTGTCCAGAAGCGGCAAAAGTATTGTCCACAGTGGCGGCAAAAGTATTGCCCCGAAGCGGGAAAAGTATTGTCCCGAAGCGGTAAAAGTATTGACCTGTAGGCTGCAAAAGTATTGTCCGAAACTTCGTTGAAATGACGTCATTTCTTGGAACTGTCTCGGCGAGTGACCTCCTGTCATATTATATTCTTCTGATACAAAGTCGCGAAATTAGCCAAATATTTTTCGCCGGGGTTACAAAAGTATTCTCCAAAGAAATTCTTAGAAATGACGTCATTTCTTGGAATCGGTCGACGAACGACCTCCTGTCATGTCATGTTATCCTGATACAATGCAGCGAAATTGGTCAAACAGTTTTCGCCAAGTCTGCAAAAGTATTGTCCAAAGAAATTCTTAGAAATGACGTCATTTCTTGGAATCGGTCGACGAACGACCTCCTGTCATGTCATGTTATCCTGATACAATGCAGCGAAATTGGTCAAACAGTTTTCGCCAAGTCTGCAAAAGTATTGTCCAAAGAAATTCTTAGAAATGACGTCATTTCTTGGAATCGGTCGACGAACGACCTCCTGTCATGTCATGTTATCCTAATACAATGCAGCGAAATTGGCCAAACATTTTTCGCCAAGGCTGTAAAAGTATTGTCCAAAGAAATTCTTAGAAATGACGTCATTTTTTGGAATTCCGTCAACGTGCCACCTTCTTTAATGTCATGTTTGCCTAGTACAAAGTCGCAGAATTGGCTGATGATTTCAAGTCATCGCCGCGAAATTTTAGGTTCAGATTTCTTGGAAGTCCGTCATCGTGCCACCTCCTTTTATGTCATGTTTGCCTAGTATAAAGTCACAAAATTGGCAGAAGATTTCATGCCAATTCTGTGAAATTTTCAGGCCCAGATTTCTTGGAATTCCGTGAATTCTTTTTCTTCTTTTCTTTCTTTTCACGTTAGATTAGGGTATCTTTCATATAGATAGCGCTAGTAGCCTACGCCAAAGAAAAATCTTTGGGAATAGTAATAAGTTTAAAATATTTGCTGTCTATTATAAATTTTCAAAGTTTCCTTTGAACTTATTCATATTTTCATTTGTATTTCTTTTTTTTTCTCGTATACTGTTTCCTCCATTGCAGTTGGTAACGGGATTACGCGTAGTTACGGCACTGTCAAGACTGGAGAAACGAGCAATGGCCGCGTGGCGGTAAAACCCCATATACGCGTTACCAACGAATATTTTCTTCAACTAATCGAATTAAAGATGGTTTCAACTATTTTGTTCCATAGTTTCTTCCGTAAAAATGTCTACAGAATACGTTACCATGCAGCAAATTCCAGTGAGATAAAGAATTTTTAATAAAAATGCGAAAATATGCGTAGAATGTACACTCGGAGGCTTATTTTTAAACTTCGGGCACCAATTATAATTATAATTATAGACACTGATAAACTCGGGGTACTCTCACCTAACTTTTCTCTAATACTTTTTATCCAATACTTCATTCTATTCAAACATCGTGCCTTCTTAGAAAAATTCACAATTCTCGAAAACTGAGGGTGAAGGAACAATTTCGAATTCGAATTCGAATTTATTTCCTGGAAAGTAAACTCTACGAGAAACACCCAATGTATATTACAAATTAAAATTCACATGGAACAGTATAATTCGTTTTAAATGGAAAACGTATTTACTGTACGATGTATCTCCATGAAACTGATTTCTGCTAATCGACCGATTTTCGTATCGATTTTCACACGATTTGGTCTTTCATACGACTTGGAATCTTAGTCAAAAATAAAATCTGAAACTGACTTTGTATCGTAATTCAATAACAATTGTACTCGAACATATAGATCGAACTGTATCTAAATTTCAACGAAAGAAGAACAATACAGAGCAAAAAGGAATATCTACGAGGAATGTAAAGCAGAAATCTCTACGTGTCTTTGTTTCTACGATATTAATAAAAGAGAGGGAGAAAGAGAGAAAGAGAAAAAAAGAGAGAAAAAATAATCTTACTGACAGAAACAAAGACGATCGAACGAAGGGAGCGCGGGTCTTGATCGTGATCGAACAAGCCAAGGATTAAGCAATCGAGACTTACCGTCGTACATGATGGGCACGCCAGTCTCGTAATAAACGAGCGCCGGAAACGCGAAGACGCCGATTTCGGCGGCTAACTTCGCGTCGTTCGACTTAACGAATTGAATACCGTGCTTGTCGGTGTCGTCGTCGATGGTCTCTAGCTCTTCGAGAATTTCCGGGCACGTTTCGCATTTATCATCGTCTGTTCAAAAGAAATATCTCATTTTCTAAAGAAAACCTCCTTTAACCCCATCTAAATCAATACCATCCGTGATATAGTCCATGAAATAGTCCATGAAATAGTTACACGTGATAGTCGCTCTATCAGAAATGAAAATACCCAAATTTGACGAATAACTATGGAGTACAGAGTGCTTGGCAGACTTACAAAAGAATACAGCAAGGTGTTCGACGTCGTTGATCAGCACCTGCAGCGTCTTCCGGTCGACGTTCTCGATCACGTCCGGGGTCTGAGTCCGGAGCTCCAGGATCCATTCCAGGATCGCCTCCTCGTGCATCATGTCTCCCGAATAAACCTGACGGAACTTGTGTCTGTAGAACGCCAACGCAGGTAGCCCAGGAAGATCGTACTCTTTCTCGATGCCATCGTCAGAGATCTTCACGAAATCGATGTCCTTCTCTTCGCACTCGTCGTCGATGTTCTCGAGCTCCTGGAGAATCTTCTGACTCTTCTTGTCGCCTTCCTTATCTGCAATGGAAGAACGTCGACATAGACAAACGATTTTTCGTTCGATCCCTATGGTTAGGATGAAAGATGACGATAAAACACGATAGATAATACTAACAGAAGAAAACGACGATATAATCGTTCTCCTCGAGGATGTTCTCCAGCATCTTGGCGTTCACTTCCTCGATCTTCCCTGGAATTTCGAGAGTGTCTTCGTCGGTGATCCACGACAGCACTTCGTCCTCGTCTTCAATGTCACCCTTGAAGATCAAGGGCTCCTTGTTTCTGAAGAACGCTAAAGTAGGGAAGACCTTGATCCCGTGCTTCCTCGCGAATCCTGTGTCCTCCGTGGTGACGAAGATGATACCGGTTTCATCCAGCTCGTCGTCGATGTTCTCGAGCTCTTGGAGGACCTTCTCGCAGTCGTCGCCATCATCGCAGTCTCCACCTGACGAGTAGCGTTATAAACCTCTTTTAAAACTCGTCGACGAGTATTATACTATCATATTATAGCACTCGAGAATACTCGGAGCAAGAATAAACGAAGGATGACTATAGCACGAGGATGTACTCACTGAAGAACGCGACGACGTATTCGTGCTCTTCGATCAGATCAGCTAATATCTCGTCGGTGACTTCCTCGATGGTGGCAGTATTCTTCTGCTCGATCAGCCATTCGAGAACCTCGTCCTCGTTCAACAGATCTCCCTCGTAGATAGCCGGGATCTTGTTCTCGAAGTAGACCAGAGTCGGAAGGTGATCGATACCGTACTCCTTCGCCTCAGCGTCGTTGTCCATACGTATGATCACGATTCCCTCCTTCTCCAGCTCGTCGTCGATGTTCTCCAGTTCGTTCAAGATGCGTATGTCCTGCTTGTCGTCCTTGTCGTCTACGGAAAGGAATCAATTCGTGTCTCGTTTTCGCTCGCGATCGACCAACAGCACCTACCTAACCGGTAACAGTGGAAGAATGTTAAAAGGAGGTAGAAAGACGAATCGATCGCTTACAAAACAGGACTGCCAAGTACGGCGAGGTCTCAATCAGCTTCTCCATCATCTCGTCCGTCACCTCCGGGATTTCCGTGTGCTTCTTCTGATGCAGTAGCCATCCGAGCAGCTGATCCTCGTTCATCAGATCGCCTGCGAGATCGAGATCACTTTTATGACGATGTACGATGATCTTTATTTACAGGGTTGTCGCTTCGCGAATGAATTCTCGGGAAATTCTGACGGGTTGTAAGTCCGTCTCGCGATCTCGTTGTTGCCCGTCAAATTAATATTGGACAACTGTTTCAATTATCACGAGCAAAAGGAAGATCTCGGCTGGAGTCGAACGCTAGACTCTGGTACGACGATAGGAATCGAACTCGACTCGACGTTTCCGTAGAACAGCTCTCTTGGAGGTCTCGATTGGTAGGCTCGAACTGTTCTCCTTAAGGTTTCGTTTCAAACTGTCCTCCTCGATTTTCCTAGGATCGGTCATAGGAAAAATCGGGAGCTCGCCAAATATTATTCGCTAATTGGACCAAGGGCGATCCCTTGGTCCGCAAATCGGTCACCTCGAAGGAAGGGAAGGTCCTTCCAGACGAAGACGGCGGTGGAGGGAACCCTCCCCTTCGAGGTGAGGTACGCGGGGTCCATCCGCGCGCTGGTAACCCCATCCGCCATTTATGGCCCCTCGTTAGGGCCTGAGGATCCCAACGTGTGCGGACCACGTGGAACCCTCAGGCCTATTGTCAGCCAAGTCTTAAGTGCCGTCGCCTAATTTCGTCAAATTAGGGTTCTCAAGGATTCTCGTGTTTCGTGACACGAGAAGTCATAATAAAAAAGAAAGTATTCAAACAAGCAGAAGGCATGGATAGAAAATTCCGATGCTGAATTGTTTTGGGCCTAAAACCTGGCTGTTGAAAGACCGTAACGGTGTCCTCCTTGTTCTACGACGGAACAAGGATTCATATTTATTTTAGAGTCGTAATTTTTGTTCACGTTCGTTCGAGTATGAGTGAAGTTTCGAATTAGTAGTCTAATGATTATTTTATTTCTTAGTTGGATGTGTGAAGATACCTTCGTAAACGTGTGGTATCCTTTTCTCGAAGAATACCAGCGTCGGCAGCGTCTCGATGCCGTATTCCTTGGCTTCATCCAGATCGGAGATCTTCACGAAGGCTATGTTGTGTTGATCGCAATCGTCGTCGATGTTCTCCAACTCACCGAGGATCTTCTGGCTCCTTTTCTGATCCTTGTCGTCTGCCAAGAAAGATAATACGGTAAATACAACGTTTTCACTGACATTCTAGGCAAATTTCTACGTTGTATAACGGAGTAAATAAATGTGGAAATAAAAAGGAAATTTATCACTGACAAAAGAGGACGGCTACGTGAGGCATCTTCTCGATGACCATATCGAGCATCTCGTCGGTCACGTCCTCGATGTGGTCGCTCTTCTGTTGATGTTCCAGCCACTTCAGAACCTTCTCCTCGTCCTCCAGATTTCCCTCGTACAACGTGGGTATTCCTTTCTCGAAGTAGAGCATGCTGGGAATCTTCTCGATACCGTATTCCTTCGCTTCTTCAGCATTGTCGATCTTCACGAAGATCACTCCTATCTGATCGCACTCGTCGTCGATGTTCTCCAATTCGTTCAGAATTTTTTGAGATTTCCGGTCGTTGTTGTCGTCTGATAACAATTTGCAATTGTCAAGAAAGAGAAAAGCTTCTTGATCCTCGATTTTAAATTTATTTCAAATGCCTCAAAAATATTTGATAAATTTCGCAAATGATAAATTTCGAATCTGAATTGATGAGAAGCTTACAGAACAGCACGGCAAGTGTTTTTCCATCCTTGATCAGACGATCCAACATCTCGTCGGTGACATCCTCGATCTCGTCCTTCTCCAACTGCGACAGCAGCCATTCCAAAATTTCGTCCTCGTTCTCCACGTCACCTAAGATCATTCGATTTTCGTTTATTCAATTTCAAGTTATCCGAATTCCTTCTCTTTCATCCCCCTCGAGTTCCTAATCGCTCCACCCACCTACCCACCATCGTAAAGATTCGGGATCTGCTTTTCGAAATACACGATCGCCGGAAGTGAATCGATTCCGAATTCCTTCGCCGCCTTTTCGTCGTCGATCTTCACGAATTGGATTCCATGCTTGTCACAATCGTCGTCGATCTTCTCCAGCTCGTTTAACACCTGCATCGAATCCTCGTCACCATGGTCGTCTAAAGAATACATAATACTTGGAACACATAATAACTGTAAACAAAGGAAGGAAATGAAACGATAGGTCGATAGAAAATTTCGTACAGAACAAAACCACCAGGTTGTCGATATTCCCGATCAAGGTCTGCAGAGTCTTTGCAGTCACGTCCTCGATTACATCCTCCTCGTCTCCTGTGCTCTTGTTAGCCACCAACCATTCCAGCACGTCTTCCTCTTTGCTAAGCTCGTCTACACGAATTTTCAATTAATTTCGCGCAGGGAAATCACTTAAACCGATTTTTCTCGATTATACAGTAACGTGGATTCTTTGTTAAAGGATCTAGACGGTTCTCGAACTCTCGAGTTGCCGTATACTCGAAGGATTTTACACAAAGAAGGTTATCGAAACGAACGATTCTCGATTATTTGAGAGCTCGAGACGTTTGGAAAATATTTTTAACGCTGCAATTGCAATGCTCGGAATACACGGTTTGTTTTACAGTCAGCGATGCTTACGCTCGTAAATTATAGGAATCTGGTGCCGGTAGTAGACCAGAACCGGAAGAGGACCTAGATTATACTCGTCGGCTAGCTGCTCGTCCGCGATCTTCACGAAGCCGATTCCCAACTGATCGGCCTCGTCGTCGATGTTCTCCAGCTCTTGAAGGGCCTTGAGACACTTTTTGCAGTCAGGCTTGTCTGTCCCATTTGAAATAAAGAACGATGTTATTCGGGATCCAGGGTTCCATGCACGGTTACATATAGAACATATCATAGTTTCCGGTCAAATCGGGTTAAACAGGGATTTTCGATTGCATTTCCTCTTTATTAACGTGACAGACAATTTAAAGAATCGTTCGAGTATAAATACCGAGATGTAACTATCACGTGAATTTCAACAGCGAATTATGTATCTTCGTATCTTTTCCTTTTTATAACACGAGGATTCTTTTTCTCATGTTTTGGATTAGTCATCATACACAGTTCCTCTACTCTAGGGGACAAGGGGATGCAAAAGAATGCATATTCTAAGATCTAAACCGATCATTCTTTAGGTGCACACGGGAGTCGTGAAATTAGTAACTCGATATTCCATTCTCATTGCGTTTTTCGAGAAAAATTTTCGTAGTTTCGAGAAACCACTCTCCTTTGTCACCGTTTCGCCCTTTGGACTTTGAATTTCGCTATTACAGCGAACAGATAGATAAAGAATGTGCTGAAAGTAATGCAGTGTTCTTCAGTATTACACGAAAGTAATTGGCGTTTGTTAAATATATATGCAGGAAGTGGTAAAAACGTATATGGAAACATATAGTCAAACATCGACGACGAGCCACGACGTTTAAGAAGAATAAAGAAGAAGAATAAGTTAGTTAGTGGTAGAGAGTGCACTTTCGTTTCACGATGTGTCTATGTCCACAATGTGTCCATATTTCCACACGTGTCACGATGTTTTCTGTGATGTCAAGTGAAATGGTGTTCCTCGAATTAAACATTGGAATTATTAAAAAATTATAAAAATAGATAAAAAATTAGTTCCTCTTAAACGACACAGCTGGTGCGTCAGTGTGCCTGTGCAAGCATTGGAGATGAAAACTGTGCTACATCCATAGCAGTGATTTCATTGAAGTCTGTACTTACTAGAACCGGCGCCAGCACACCGTTGCGTATCCGGACCTATCCATACCAACACACACAAGAACGTTTCACATATATGTATTATTTACAAGTATGTCGTAAGTGATCGGATCGCAAAGTGGAAAGAATTCTGTGAAACTTTCATCGAGATATAAAAGAACGAATTCATTCGTGGTTCATGCTTTATGTATAGATTCATCTTTGACTCGAGATCGATCTACTTTGCGATACTTCAATCATACCACAACGGACAATGACAGATTTTTACAGACGTTTGAAAGAAAGACGAAGACTGACAGTAAGATTGAAAGAATAATAGGACGTTCACGGCGCTCTTTTGAACGAAGACAAATTTTTTAATCTGTAATTAATTAATCCTCTAAGCATCCAAGCTGACACTGATACTCACGAATAGGTTTATTGCAGCTATATGATAAGATTCTGATCCTGGTTTCTCTAATTTTTAACTCATACTGACTCATTTTTAATTTACGGGAAAGACGGTATGTATGCTTAAATAGCCACATTTATCATTCAAATTTAAAGAAAAACTTAAAGAAAGATCTAAAGGAAAATTTAAAGGAAAATTTAAAGAAAAATTTAAAAAAAGAACATAAAGAAAGATCTAAAGGAAAATTTAAAGAAAAATTTAGAGGACAATCTAAATGAGAAACGAAGAAAATTCGATCTGATTTTACTAAAAAAATTCACCGATATCTGTGGCATTTTGGCAAATTTGTCTTCGCCCTCGTAGTTAAAGAGAGCGTTAAGGCGGGATAGGAAACGGAAGTAGCCTGTGACACGACGAGGAGGAGGTGAAAGACGTGTCTACAATGTAAAACGTATCTACAATTTATCTGCAAACGCTGTAACGATATCTCGATACCACGACACGGTACCATTTGTGCGAAAACTCGTACGTCGTTAATATCAGTGAAAATAAAACGAAAGAAATCTGCTTGAGACGTGACGTGTTAATGCAGACCGAGCTTCTCAGCTGCTTGGACACTGGTCAAAGCTCTGTTAATCGTATCATACACTGTCTGCACTGCACAGACGTATTAGTGAGACAAGAAAATAATAAAAAGAAAAATTTTGCATATTATGTACACGAATTGTCTGGATCGACATACATACGTATGCTTATGCATTCGGGCACGTAATTCGATAATAAATTATATACACATGGCTGAAATCGAACCGTTTCCCGGTGGTTTTGCCTGTTTTAGTCGAGAATAGTATTCGTGGAGAAAGGACGAAATGAGAATTTCATTCTCCTTTACCTTCGACGGTGGTTTTATATTTTTCTACGCTTTTCCTGATGAAAGGGAGACAGACTAGCTTCATAGGGGAGATAGAAAGAGAGAGATGCGAAATTTGATAGAAGTTTCGTGTCAGTAGAGAACTCACAGAAAAGGACTGCCACGAATTCCGTATCCTCCACGATCTTCTCCAAGATCTTCGCGTTTACTTCCTCGATACGATCGGGCAGGTCCATCGCTTCTAGGCTTGTCAAGAAGTCCAGAACGTTTTCTTCGTCCATCAAGTCACCTGGAAAAGCGGAACAAATGACCAAGGAAAATCGAGGATTTCCTTATTACCTTTAATTCCAAAAATTTACTTTGTAATCCACAATCCCCAAACTCCTGAATAAATCACGTCTTCACATAGAAAATTTATCATCTATTAAACACATTGCACAAAGCATAATTATTTCATACATATAATCGCTGAAAACTCAAATATAGTAGCCTCTGACGCGAAAATTTATATATTTTTTCTTTTTATTTAAAAATTGAATAATTTTCTAAATCACTGGTATCGAGATACATTTTATCATCTCGAGTTATCGAAACCTGAAATAGAACCTCGATTACGTTGTATTTCGTGGGATCAGGTTGGAGGAACGTCACTGTTTCGTTGCTCAATCGGTTCTACGATCGACGAGCTTGATCTGAAAAAGGAAATAGCCACCAGAGACGTTCATCGCAAGGATAAGGAACAGTGTTTCAATTTTACTCTGGTCTAAACGCAGACGAAACGAATTTAATAACGCGTATCACTAGCCGCGACTTTCTGTCGCTTCTATTTACCATGCCGAAGCGTCGAAAATAGCTTCTGTTGCATTGGGTACAATGGAAATAGATGCAACCTGTCGTTACGTCATCGAATGCAAAATCAGCCGAAACGGTTCCGGGTGAAAGTTAATTCTATCGCGGTTACCGCCTCTCGTTCTTTTCTCCCGCTCTCGTTTTATCTCGGGCAAGAGGTGTCGCAATTATTTCGCGTATCCGCTTAATAAATCCGCAAGTATCGCGTTGCCAAACGAGGGCTTTGCAGATTACAATGTAGCACGATTAATGGCCGCACCTGTACCTACGCTGCTCTGTTTCCGCGTTGCTCGTCCAATCGCGGTCCGATCTCTGAATTTCTTTCCTCGATTTCATTAACGCGTTTCGTCTCATTCTTTTTCTTCACCGGTATCGTTTTTCCGTTAGGCATTCGTTGCATTTTTTATTTGCTCTTTTGGATGGTATTTGGAACGAGTTGTTTAATAGCATTACGTATATACTGTTGCATTGGAAACTTTGTTCCATATTTCTGAATTATTCTTTCACGTTGAATACGTGAGTCAAAAATTTGTTGATTGCATTCCTAGATCACATTCTCTAATAAACAAATTAACTCATAGCTGTCTAATAAAAAGTACCACCAATATTTTTATTATTATTATTATTACTAACAAAGGTTTTCAAAGAGTATAGAAGAGTATACAATTATTGCCATCAGATCTATATAATTATCCCGAAAATAGTATATAGAATTGCGATTTAAGTATCTATAAGATAAATAAAATAAAATTCGTATAATTATAATAATAAGATCTACGGAACAACTATTTTTAAATTTACAAAATTATCATCGCGAGGTCTATAAAATTGCAATTGTTGTAATAATATTTTTATTATTATTATTATTATTACTAACAAAGGTTTTCAAAGATTATAGAAGAGTATAGAAGCATTGCCATGAGATCTATATAATTATCACGAAAAAAGTATATAGAATTGCGATTTAAATATTTATAAAATAAATAAAATAAAATTCGTATAATTATAATAAGAAGATCTACGGAACAACCATTTTGAAATTTACAAAATTATCATCGCGAGGTCCATAAAATTGCAATAGTTGCAATATTTTTATTATTATTATTATTATTATTATTATTACTAATAAAAGTTTTCAAAGAGTGCAGAAGAGTATAGAATCATTGCCATCAGATCTATATAATTATCACGAAAATAGTATATAGAATTGCGATTTAAATATCTATAAAATAAATAAAATAAAATTCGTATGATTATAATAAGAAGATCTACGGAAAAACCATTTTTAAATTTACAGAATTATCATCGCGAGGTCCATAAAATTGCAATAGTTGCAATAATATTTTTATTATTATTATTATTATTATTACTAATAAAAGTTTTCAAAGAGTGCAGAAGAGTATAGAATCATTGCCATCAGATCTATATAATTATCACGAAAATAGTATATAGAATTGCGATTTAAATATCTATAAGATAAGTAAAATAAAATTCGTATAATTATAATAATAAGATCTACGGAAAAACCATTTTTAAATTTACAAAATTATTATCGCGAGACCCATAAAATTGCAATAGTCAAATTTCGTAGAGTTACCCGAGGAAGACCTAGAAAATTATCAGAGCAAAATGGACCGTGATAAAATTACCATAATCGCGTCTCCGTCAAGAGCCAACGCGTTTCTCGACGAAACCGTCGGAACACCGGGTAGATCGCGATCATCCCCTGCAACGGTGTCGCGTTGTAGCGAGACCGATCTCGTTCCGAGCGAATCGGTGCGTCTCGATCTAAATGTAGAAAGCCAGATAGCGAGTGGCGGCTGAATGAAACCGTAAGTCGCAGCACGCGTCGACGTTGCATCTCGTTCGTTACGTAACCCGCATTCCTTGTACCCTATTAATTTCTCCGGCACGGCTGGTCCTCGTGTCACTGGCCAGCCGGAATCGCGTCCCCCTCGAGCCGCCCGCGGCAGGTGACTTCGTCGGGGGTGGTTATGTCGAACAAAAGTCGAGCACACGACCGACGCTGTTCTACAGTCTAACCTCACGAAATACCAGCGCCTGGGCCAGCTGCCAGATCGCGGAGCTGGTCTGACTAGTGCACCGTGCGACTACTCGACTTCGCGAAAATCCCAGTCCTGATTAACGCTATCGATCTTCTTTCCCCTTTATTTCGAATTTTCCTTCTTAAGCATTATTTTAGATTCTTGTGCTGCTTCATATTTGAGTGGAAAAATACGATGACGTGTTTAGAGTCGAACTTGGAATTTTGATATTTTCGGGGAAAATTAAAGAAAATTAAATTTCTTTTTGCAGGTATTTCTTTTTGCACGATGTTATACGGTGCACGGGGAAATAATTAATTGAGTGATTATATGGGTGATGATATTGCTGTTTAGAGACTTGTGTAGGTTCGAAAGGGAAGAGAATACAATTAGCGAAGAAGTAGGCCGACGTCTGACCGCGATAGACTCATGCTACTGGAACCAAGAGGAATTTAGAAATGGCGAAAATTCGAGAACCCCGGCGATTGTTCTGCGAATTCTGGGTCAAGTACTATACCGCGGCAAGTCTCGAACCTTGTTTCTCATACCTGGCAAGGTTACCGAGATCGCGGCCGGATTCCAATAAAAGTTTGGCGAACTTTCAGCCATTAGGAATCATTACTATCCGCTTTTGTTCGCGGTACTCGTGAACATCTTGTAAATAGTTAGATAAGCGGAGCTTCTCCTTTTTATCTTTTCCCTTTAGATAGAAGTGTCTAACCTTCGTAGATGATCGGCTCCTTCTCGCGGAAATACGTGAGCGCTGGGAAGTTCTTGATGCCATACTGCTTGGCCAGTCGTTTGTCGTTGATCTTGACGAAGTCGACCCCGAAATGGTCCGTGTCGTCGTCGATCTTCTCCAGCTCGGCCAGCACCTTGTCGCATGTCGTACAGCTTCTCGCGTCTGGAACATAATCGTACTTAATTATTCCAAATTACCTCGACCATCTCATCTATCGATCTCTCCAAACCCAATTTTCCCAATATAAATTACGAAATCCGATAAACAATTATCGAGCTTCACTCAGGCAGCTAATTAATATTGGTAAATCTCGAAAAATTGAAAAATCGATCATTAATTATAGAATTATATCACTTCTTGACGACGAAGATGAAGTCACGACCTCGAGGAACTCAGCACCTCGCGAGTAAGCGATTCTCGAGCTTTTCTCGAGATTTTTTCGAGATTTTTTCGAGATTTTCTCGAGAATATTCACCATTTTACTCGACTCGAAGCAACATCGATAGCCTAGATAGCGACGAATGGCGTCCGAATAGCGTCAGAGTCGGTTGGCAAGATACAGGTATCCGTGAGGTTAACGATCATTTCCCCGCGGGCACCGGGGTCCTTGGTACCGGCCTTGAGTTACAGAAGAAGGAAAACTAATCCTTCGCGCGCGAGTTTTATGCTTATCGCCTGCGGCTTGGCAGTTCCAAGCGTTCTTGGCCGGCTCCGATCCGTTCAGCTCGCCGTCGCAGCGACCAGCTACGCGGGTGTTGGGTTACAATCATTGGATATGGACACCAAGGTGTCTAGCCACGGTTTCTCCATCGACTCCCGTCGATCTCGTTGCCGCGATCTGGATCACGGCTTAAAGGCGATCGGACGAAACGGCGTCGCGCGGGACACGAAAGAAGGAAGCGGACGAACAGGTGGACGTCGCCATTTTTGGCGACCACGTCCTCAGAATAGAGCCACAAAGGCTGTGAGAGGTGGATTCGACTCTCTTCTTCACTCTTTCTCTTTCTTTGCTCTTGCTGCTTCCTCTCACGAGGCTCTGGTACATCGCTGTTCTCGTGTTCGATTCTATTTTTGCGTAGCTACCAGAACTTTTGTAAAGCAACCGAGAAACAAAGTCGTCTTTGTCTCACCGGGACGTAACATCCTCGTTACTCGTCTGTGTCGTTCTCTTGCTTATCCTCATCCCCCTGGCTCAGTCCGTCTCCATTTTTCCTCGCGTTTCGCATTCCTTTCGCGGCGATATCGTCGAGTCGCTGAGTTTACAGGACACCCCCGCGCTGGCAGAATGCAGTTCGAGCGGAAGAAAGAGAGAGAAAGAGACGGGAGAGTCGTCGAAAAATGTGTGCCAGTTAAATTGGACCGATTCCACTGGCTGCGTCTCCCAAACGATGGAAAGTTGGGAGAAATTGTGCGGCAACCGTTACGCTGATGGTTACGCGCGAAAATTTCTCGTTGATTCGCCGAGTTATGAAATTCCTGGCAGTATTTGCGGCTTCAAAAATTCCTCAACGATGTTCTAGAATACGGGTATTCCATGCGATCCCCGAAATGGGGATTAAAAGGGAATTTCACGTCGAGAACGGTATGCCTGGAGGGAAATTTTGCGCAAATTTTTACGTTAATTAAACGACGTGGATGATAATTGAAAATTTATTCGAGAGCGAAGTAAATTAGATCGTTGCACGCAGTAAGGAAGAATTTCATTTTTGCCGATGATAAACCTCGCAGATTCGCCGAATACGAAAACGATCTCGAACTCATCTTCCCGGTAGAGCAGAGACTCGCAAACAAATATAAATAGAGCGACACAAAACAATTCTATTTTTATTTCCTATCGTGTCCACCCACTCGTTCCTCTCCTAAACGGATCGTCGAATCGGGAACGAAAAATAAGCGATACGCTAGAACCCGATTTCACGCTCAGCCTATCGATCATCGCGGCTGATTCGACCCATATGATTCACTGCTGTCGCTGTCCTGGAAATTCGACCACGTTTCCTCGTATTCCACCGCTTTTATTCGTCGTATCACACTAGCAGTGGTAAAAATAAAGCTTCCTAACCCTAAATCCCAATTTTTTAAATTATCTCTCTGTACTCGAACTTCCGTATTCCTAAAAATATAATTATATTCTGCGAAATATTCTTTGCAGAACATCGTTACAATATCTCAAAAATTGTTCCATTTTTCTGCTGATTAATTACTAAAAATAATCGAAGCTTTTAAAATCAATTTTCAATTTCCCATTGTTTGTTCTTCAAATATCAACTATCTCTAGCCTTCCAATATTTAATTTTCAAGATATTTTCTTTAACGCTCGATTTAGTCATCATTCCAAATTTTCCGTCGCCATCCATCTCTCAATTTTTACTTTTCTAGTCGCTCATCCATCTTCGAGCTTCCAACTCCCCACCACCAGCCGACCTCTAATTTCCTACGACTCTCAATCTCCAACAGCCAGAATCCTAAAGAACCACCAGAACATCCCATAAAACACGTGGGAACTCCAAAAATAAGATCCACCGCGATCCCACTCCTCTTACGACCAGTTCATCACGGGGATCACCTAATCGCCAGCCTAGAGCTCCTCTCTTCGACAACGAGGCACTCGATAAAATCACAGCGGCTGTCCATCATAGTCAGCCTCGTTTATCATCGAGAACGGGACGTCTGGCCAGCGGGGGAACGTCGATCCAAATAGATCGAGAAAACGCCCAATACCCGGTGGATCGAGAATACGCAGCTCGACCTTGATCCCGCTGGAACCGCGATATAATCCCGTTGTGATCCACGTGTCGTTCCTCTTCAAGGTGGCGAAATCGTGTGGAGGCACTTAGGAGCGCAGGCGCGCGCGCGAGCACGCAAGAAAAGGCAGCCCTGCCGCGCGAGAAACAGAGACGACGAGATCGAACGACGGCCAGTGCCTAGTTTACGAGCCACTAAAAATACGAGAACCAACGGCCTCGCCGTCCATCGCGACATTTTACTCGCCGTCGTTTCTCTCGCGGACGTCTACTCGCGAAGGGCGAGATTCTTCCATGTTGGAGAACGCGCGGTGGAGGACGCTGGGCCGAGGAACTGGCCGAGAGAAAGTGGAGGAACTGGGTGAAAAGCGATTCGACAGATTTGATTAAAGATTTTCGTTCAATTAACATCTTATTCAAGAATTTTTCAGGTCAATTTCCATTGGACTAAGGCTTTCTTATTGGGGTGCAAGAAGAGGAAGATCAATGGAGGAAGACACTGCTAAAAATGTAAAAGAGGAAGACAGTTTTGGATGACTCGATTATTAAAAAGGGAATAAATTGACAATAACTGGAGTAACTTGATAACCTGACACTGACGATATATTAATTTCCAATTTGAATTAAGATGGACGACTAAAAGTCTCACGGGGTTGGTTGAAGACAGAGAAAAGCAAACACCGAATTCTGATACTAGGAGATCCACGAAAATTCATCTTCTTAGCAGAAATATTCGTCTGCTTAGCAGATAGAGAGGCCAAGATGGGGAAAAGTATAGAGAAGATTTAACGATCCCCTAGCAGACGATTTTCCCGCAGCAGAGGAGGATGCAACGCGCAGTCGATAGTTTTATTTATACCGGAAGAAGCGTTCGAAGCATATCTTCAGGGTCCCAGTCCGTCTCTAAAGATAGCCACTCAATCGGCCGTATTTTCTTGTCTCGCGTAGACGCGTGGGTCGCGATTGTGTCGGTATTGGTGGGCTTTGGTAGCGTGCACCAACGATTTGGGACATCGCGTGGGTGTCCCGAGCCTGCGCTGCAGCTCAGGTAAACCCGTGCACGATCATCAGCCATTGGGGCTGTTCCAGCACGTGCGCCGATTATTTTCCTTCGACACGATTCGTGCGCGCGTGGAATACGCTTTATTTGTTTTCTCGCTCAGGGTAAAATCGAGAATGAATCGATCGGGAGGCAACTTTGCGAGCTTTCGAATTAGACGAAGGTCGAGTCGTAAAAGCTTCGATGACTCCGCTGCGTGGCGCTAGTCGCGGTGTTTGGGTAATTAACGTGGGTATTAATATCTCGAGAGACTTTCTTGGATTTTTAAGAAGCGCTTATTACGATCTCGTTGGGATGAGGAAGAGGAAGGGGAAGAGGAAAGATGAGAAAATTCGAAGAAGCTAAAGGGGTGGCGCGCGGATCGCGGAGGCATCGAGAGTAGCGAGGAGGATTTGATGGTCAAGGCTATAAATTCTGTAGCGCAAGGTGCAGTGACCTGGTATGGCAATGTGGTTGTTACCAGAGTAATAACACACTCTTGTCACCGGAAGTTTCTTTTTATAGATGTCTCTGCGAGTTTTATGGGCCAGTTCGTAGCGCCTCTGCGTTTAACCAAACCGTGTCTGTTTGCCTTCGTGGCAGGTGGCTTCGAATGAATATTTTGAGTGTCTGCAATCGTTTTATTACCGACTTGCACTTGCAGACGTTAAATAAACTCGGAGAATCATAAATGAGTCGAAGAAATGTAACTTCGCGCACTATAACCGACACTAACGAAGCATCTTACGTTTTCATCGAAATCGTAAATTTCGCGGCCAATCTCGTCAATCGATCGTTTCATCCCCTTTTTCTGTTCGTTTCTACTTTTCTTTCGACCCCTCTCGAGGTTTCAGACGCGGCGTTCGGATCTCCGATTCCACCCCTAACGCGTCGAAGCTGTCTCGATGGCTCTCGTGACCAGAGACGCATAATTCTGGACAGGATGACTTGGCGGAATTATTTTTAAAGGGGTTTCAAGGTAAAAGACAGAAGCACGCTCGTTCCTCGGGACCAGCTATAAAGTTGTAACAGGAAAAACGTAACACTGCGGCGAGTCTGTGATTAAAGTAGCGACGACATGCTCAAGAAAACACACCACCGGCCATCTACTCCTGAATAAACAACCTATAGTATCGTGTGTATATATATCCGAGCAACGCGAATAGTTGGCAGAGGACCAACGGTGCTTATCACTGAATTAGCAATTTTCTCATTCTCACTTTTTCCTGGCAAGCCGATAATTAAATTAAGCCGCGCACAGGTGGCCAAGCTTCGTGGACGTTCTCTGACACTCGATTCCTCTTCCCACCTTTTCAACTATTTTCCAAATTTCCTACCCCATTCCCTATCTTCTTTAAATTCCTTCTTAACATACATCC